GTGTGTAAGTCTGATGGAGAATGGACTTTATTCTCCCTCAGCCCAGCACCAAATAACCTCTCCTCTATTGGCTGTGTCCCTGAGGGGAAAAAGGTGTGTGTGTGTCCCACACCTTCTGGGTCCAGCCTCTGCAAGCTTTCCCCTGGCCCACTCCCAGAACCACCGGTACGGGGGGTAACAGTGACCACTCAGCTTGATGTATTATGGAATGAAACAGAATCTTATAGACTGGCCCCAGGAGAGCAGCTCATCAGTGCCTGGGACCAGGACGATATTCTATCCCTTCGTCCAGATCATTGATGAATATATTGAATAAGGCAGGACCCAGCATTGCCCCCTGGATGCCACTAACCACAGCCCTCCAAATAGACTCTACCCCACTGACCACTTTGCATATAAATCAGTTATGATTCCTTCCTTAAAATGCATCAATCCTTTAAAATGTCCTTTGTTCTTTCTAACAAACAGCATAGGTCTACAAGGCAGAATGATGTCCTTGCAGACATTTCCTTGATTTGGCTCTGCATGCAGCATAATCAGTATTGTGTTTGGCATGATTGTCTCTGGTGAATTCCATATTTCCAACACTGTCACTCTTGATTAAGATGAAATACATTCCCAGATCTTCTGCTGGGTCACACACCTCTTATGACCCCGTTAAGAATAAACTTGAAGTCAGCAAATGTATTAATTTATGAAATTATATGTGTATATATTTTTAAAAGAAAATAATAAGGATCTTTCCTATGATTTCCAGGAGAGATATATGGCTTTGTATTAAGTGTGAGGTCCACCTACATTTCATCCATTAAAGCATTCAGCACCTCACTGCAGTGATCCTTATCTTAAAATATTTGTTTTTCCTTTCTTTTGCAACTAAAATAATAACTGAGCCAACGATTGTGTAACATTATCCTTGAATAGGAACTCCCTGCAGAGGGCACATTGCAAAGAGAAAAGGGTTCTCTTGGATTTCCTGAACTTGTAATGAGCTCATGCTGGCAACAAACTCTTGAGCAGCTTTGTGCATTGCTGGAGAGATGAATTTGAATCACAGTGAAGGGTAAATGACAATGATGAGGGAACATCATTGTTTTGTTCAAAGAAGTATGCTTCTCTTTCAGGATACAAGATGTGTTTTCTTTTGTGCTAAGTGTACTTTGTGATCTACATGACAGTAAGCAACATTATTATTGGTCATGGTAGCTATTCAGACTGTCAAAAGATATCAAAATGTAGATTCAGCTAGACTAATAAATAAGGTGAACAGACCTATCCAGAAGTTGTGTTCCTGACTTAAGCCTTTACCTAAATCTGTTCAACCTGTGTGACTGATAAAGAAAGAACATTTCCTTTAGAAATTTGTGCTGGATTTTTCTAACTTGGTCAGGAAGATTGCAAGTCAGCCTCCTTGAATTTATTGATATTGATGGAGGGGCCCAAAAAATTGGGTGGAGACAGGAAAATTTTATAAGAATGAACAGGAGTTAGCTAACAGAGTGAACAAAACTATTTTTCCAATTTCAGTTTCCAAAACCAGTTCAGAGTTGGGACATGCTATGGCTTTTCTTCTACCTGAACCAGATTATACAGTGTAAGAGGGGAATATACTGGCAATCCTGCTTTATAACAACCACAATAAACGATGGGTGAACTTTGCATATATATAGGAAAGTACCACCTTGAACACATTTCAGAAAATGTAATTCAGGGATGTGTGTTAGAGCAGTGTTTAGCTAAAAGATCTTGCTGTGCAGTTTCTTGTTACCTGATCAATTCCCAGAAGTGTGCAGAAGAGTTAACTGCATGTTTTCAAGATGTCAAATAATAAGAACATTAATTCTGAAGTACATTTCTTCGTAATACCTTACCAGGAAAAGATTCCTATTACTAATGTTAGCTGAGCCTAGTGGACTGGAGGGCCTGGAGGAGGTCAGCAGCTCACCTTTGGCTAGACATGTGTACTACCCAGCAGCAGGTTCATTCACACCAGCCCCTTTGTTACCCTTCTCTATCTTTTCCCATGCTTGCTACACCACAGTACACTTTGATCCTTCCCTTTCTCCACCTTTAGCCTTTGCCCTTAACAACATCCTATAGTAAGAATTTAGCAGTCCCTAAATTCAGATTAGGGAACTGCATCCTGAAGCTTAAAAGTACTTTGTTCTGATTTCTGAATCTGCTGGTCAGCAAGTTCTAATGATGCATTATAACACTTTATTTTAAAATTTACTCTAAATGCATTAATCACTGTTTTTCCAGTGCTGGAGCAGGGCAAAACTAGCTGGTTTAAACCATTTGGATAACTTTCTTTCACATCTTTGGACATTTTGTGCATGAAAACATCAGTTTTTGCACTTTTGAAGATTGACTTCATAGTTCATGACCTTTCAAGGTGATGCTTGAAACTGTTTCTTTGAAGTTCAGGTTGCTCAATACTTTGTGAGGGTTATAACAATCTCACAAGTGGGCATGAATGCGCAGCAGAAAACTGGCATTAAAGTACCCGAAACACAAACTGTTTTAAAGTGTTAGTTACCTCTGTGTTTAGGCTTCAGTACAAAAAATGTTCAGATGATTGCACAGATCTCAGAAGGACTGTGTGCTGCCCTGAATATTAGAAAAAGATATTTTGTCAACGAGGAGATATTTGCACTTAGGGGTTGCTCTTTCTTTTTAACCAATTCTTTTCCTCACTGCTCTGAGCAGCTGTTTTCAATGCTCACCTTAATGATGTTTAAATTGGATGCAGGTGAAACCCATTTTAAAACAAAAATTAAACAACTTAAGTACACTCATAGTATGGGTTTCCAGTGACTTAGCTGTACAGAGTCAGTGCGGTTAAGTTAGAGTGGTTTTCTCCACACCGGTACAGCCTTTTAAGTAGTGCAGAAAGCTTTTGATTTATTTAGTGTTGGTTTTCCTTCCTTCCTTCCTCCCTCCCTCTTTGCAGAAATCTGGATGTAAGAGAAAACTGAATGATTTCTCAGTGGCTCTGTTTAATTGGTAGACTTCGAGGTATCTGTTACACTGATTTAGGCAGGAAATTCAGTCTTCCATCTGTAGATGCAGATTTAGATAAAGGTATCTAAACTAGAATAATAATTTTACGTAGAGTAATCCTTTTTTAAAAAAGAACCTGTACCTAAAGTAGTTTTGATCAGTATATGATGAGCCAAATTCTGCCCACGGATATCTCTTTGGAAGCTTCTATGCCTTCTTTTCTAGTGTTGTATTTCAGTAAGAATAGAGCTTGATTTCAAATAATTACGAAGGGCAGAAATTTCTGATATCTGATGTCAAGAGTAAGGGAAAATCTTCCTTCTGAAGATGAATTCCCCAAACTAAAATCACCATCTCAACAATGTTTTAATCAAAAAAATTATTTTAAGCTTCAGGATCAAACTGTCTTTCTTTCACTGACAGAAATATGAATATACCTGAACTTGTGGCCTTGTACCATGTGTGCTTGTGTCATCCAAACTCTGTCTCAAATGAGTTAGACTTAGTGTAAAACTTAGTTTGCTTCATTTTGTTATTTCCTATGAAGACTAGTATTTCTGGAAGTCTTCCAAGCTGGTTTATAACTGACACCCAGCTAACAAGGACTCTTCATCCTTTGGAATGGCTGCAGGTTTTGTGTACTTTAAAAGAAACTTAGGCCAATCAGGTAAGATTGTATTGAAAGAAAAAAATCTTGTCTTTGAAGGGGCTTTTAGTTTTTTCACTATGTAATATGCTTTTTGAAAAGTTAGCTGTTGAACCTTATATGGGGACTGATGCAAAATAGCTTGAACTGGAGTTAAGATGGAGAGAGATTCTATCCTGTAAAGATTTAAAAAACATTTTGCAAAGGTTTCTTTTTTCTTGGAGAAAATGCCTAGGGATAAAATCAAGAGAAATGTAAATGTTAGGAAGTCTGGAAAATACATTTTTACTTGGTGATTAATTTAGTGAGTAAGAAAATCACTTAAACTGTTGCTCTCCAGTTGCATGCAACATTATTTCTAAAGTAACAGTACCCAGAGATTCCAGTCAAAATCACAGCCCTTTGTGAATTTTACACAAATATTAGTCCCTTGCTCTTAAATGTTTGTAATAACCTCATTTTCATAAAGAATATTCAAAGCTGTCTAAGCACATAATAGTTAAATCTCATAATAGGTCTCTGGAAGAAAGAATGTAAATCTCATTATAAAGCAAGCCAGTAACTAATGCGTAGACTGTCTTAAGCATGTCTGACGTTGTGTTGTTTCCTGCAAGCAGACAGTCATGCAAATCTTAAATGATTCAGTAGTAGTCTACTGGGGTATGTGCTCTTAAATGATCAATGCAGTTTGTTCGTTCTTTTTACAATAGGTCAGCTCTTTATTGAGAAACTGCTTACAACAGTAAAACTAAGGTGTATAGCCTGAAACAGAATGCAGAAAATATTGTAGGAAAAGTTTCTCCATCTCCTGTCAGGAGAGTAGATATCTCTGGTTGTACTCTTCAGGCTTTGCCCTTTTGTTACTTTAACTGTTTTACTTTATTTTGCCATCACCTCTTCCCCTTCATCTGGGTTTTCATTCCCCTTCACCTTCCAGGCAATGTTTGTGTTGAAATGTTATGTGCGTGACCTGCCATGTTCACCTATTTGTTGTATCTCAGTCAAAAAGCATTGCCAAATCTTTCGTGCATAAGTGCATTGTTTTTTCGTAATGACTAAAATATTTCTGAAGGATTGGTAAATAAACCTTAAAGCAGACATGCTGAAAGATCACAAAGATTGGATAATGTGCCAAGCATTCACTGAATATTGGACTTTTTCTTATGAATTACAGGTTAATCCCTTTCTCAAATAAATAGCATGACTGTACTAATTGCTGTTTTCCTCACTTACAGATGCAGAGCCACGGTATTTGGTTTCAGTAAGACCAGCACGCGTTTCAAGTAACAAGAAATCTTGTTCAGGTATTTTACCATTACTGTATCTCTTTCCTAAATTAGTTAAAAGGAAGACAGAATCTTTTACTGGGTTTCTCTGAGAAGATATTTGTAATTGTCAGTGTCTGATTGGGATGCACAAGTTCCATACATGGGAAGGTAAAGTGTAAGATGGTATTTCCTAGTCAATAATCAATCACAGTTGTGGTGTTCAAAACATGATGAAGTACCTAGAGATTGCTCCTGTAAAAAGTTCTTGCAAATTGGAATTAAAATTTAGTAATACTAATTTCTGATGTTTAAAGAGGTCATGAGTGCATGCCAAAAAAGTAAAGATTACTTTTCCCAAACTACTACTACTAAGGATTCCTTCATCCATGGACATGTTAATGTTCTTCATTTCTCATTGGAAATGGTCACCTCTGTGTGTGTGTATATATATATCTATCTGTAAATCAGTACTACTACTGAGATTGCTGATGCAAGTAGTTAAGAAAAGAGGGATGTTTCTAGCTTAAACTACATAGCAGAGCAGAAATCTGAATTTGATTCTTGCCTGTTAAGACTTTCTATATGACCTCAATCATGTCATTAATATTGTTAGTTTTTAAGTCCTTACTTTAATTTGGACATGACTGTTGGGATCACTGGACTGTTGCAAAGAATAAACTGATAGTATGTATGTATATGTTACAGTTTGAGATCTTTTTATGATTTTTTTTTTTTTTTCCCTAACACCGGTAACTGCTTTGGGATTAATCTCCTCTTGATCATGGCTAGATGTGAAACAGTATGCATGGAAAGGTTTTGAAAAGTGATTTGCCTTTCAGATGCAACATACATATATCAAAAAACCTCAAATCCAAAAAAATGCCCATTGCAGTGTTTGGCCATTATTAATTTTTGTGTCTACAGAAACTGATTTGTGAGACAAGATTCAGATAATTGACTTGTCAGTGCATCAGGCAAAGGTCTAAGAACAGCTGTTGGTTTAATGCTAGATAGATATATGGCAAGTCTTTTAGTAGTGAGAGTAGTTAAACTGGACACATTACCAAGAATTGTGGTGGAGTCCTGCTACTACTTTTAAATTTACAAATACAGACTGGTTACATTTATAGAACATACACTGTACTTCAAACTCCAATTAATACTCAGGTGTTGTATGGTTGTATTCATATAGAGAACATAGATGACCACAAAGGTAATTCCTGGTTTTACAGTGTATAAATCACTGCAGTCCCTAACTGGGATCTAATGGCATAATGAGTCATAATCAAAATCATGCATAGGTCCTCCCAAAAAACACTTTGATTTCAAAATATATGATGGCTTGTTTTTTTTCTTTTCCTTAAAGCTCACATGTATTCCATATTTCCTCAAAAAGTGATCAAGAAGGGATTTTGCTATAGATCGTGGATTTGCCAGATAGTTTGGTGAATGATCAAGCTGTTTGTTTTAAGTTTTACTTTAAAAATGGAGAAAGAGTATAGCTACTGGTCCAGAAAAGAGCTCACGTTGAGATTTGCCCTTGTGAAGTATCACATGTTCCACAGTATTTCAGAGGTATCATACTTGCTCTTAAGGGTGTGTGGGGTTTTTGTGGCAACATATTCACCATGAGCAGGGAGTAAAAACCCATGCGGTGAATGTTTCTAAATGTACATGCGTGCATTGGTTGAGAGTACAAATCAGACTTTCACTGAGGCTTGTTAAGTGAAGAGATATTAGGGTTCAAAAGTCATGAAAAGAAAGTTAGTCAGATCTATTTCACAACAGTGAAAAATATAAACTTTAGACCACTGGCTCATAAACCTTTGGGGAATTTGTGGTCACATGTACATTTTTGAAGTGGTACAGATCCTTTAGATTTTTGAAGTATGTAATGTGATGTAAAGAACATATCAATTTCCTTTAATTAATCATCTTTGAAACACCAAAGGTCCTCCCTGGGCTTGTAGCAATCCACAAAATATGGGTTCAAAAGAGTTGCTCTAGAATATTTCTTCATTTCCAAATACTAGCTTTAAGCTTTGTTTAAAGAAAGATCTTACTCCACATGAGAGTTATGCTACTTCATTCAGAGCAAAGTTGAAGTTAAGTATTATGCAAAAGCTGAACATTTGGAATGCAATAGGTGGCTAAAAGAGAAAAAAGCCTGCAGATACAGACACTGACTCAGACCTGCCCACTCTTAAATGCAACAGAATTTTTGTAGGTTTTATTTTACTCTTAAACAAGAGTGCTGTAGAAAGTATCAATTATCTGTGGACATAATTGAAGTGTTACTAAGAATCCTGCCAAGAAAATACTATTTCTGTCACACATAAAGAGGCATCCTCATGTCCTGAACTCTGTGTAACACCTTCTGTGATGCAGTCCAAGAGAGCCAGAGCTTTGAAGTTAATCTGTGTATACCTTATTCTCATACTAAGTGTACCAAAACCACTCACTGTTTATTTTCAAAAACTAGGCTGGAACATAGGCTGAAAAAAGAGAAATAAAGAAAACATAATAGGACAAAATTGAAACCAGGCTTAGTAAACAAGTCTCCATCCTACCCACTAAATAGCAAGAATTCCTTTAGATTTACTCTGGATCTGCAAGTCTGGAAACAAAGTCTTCCAGTTTCTTCCCAGGTTGAAATACCTGCTGTGCAAGTCCAAAGCAGGCTTAAAAAATAGTCTTTCTGAGGCTTGTGTGTCTGATACCTGCTTTCTAAAGCAGTCTCCTAATCTATGCTCCTGCTGCATGCTAGCTGCATCCTTCCTTCCTTTATGACAACTTTCTTCTGCACTTCTGTCCTCTGTTCATGCTCAGTTGGCTTCAAAGAAAAAGCAGCCTCCCTTTCTTGCAGATGTTTCACTTAGCTCAACGGGAAGCCAACAAAGAGATCACAGGCACAGCCTCTTCCCCCTTTTTTAAATCATAAATTAGAAATGGTAACCATGAACAAAAGAGAACTATTTTACCTTTCCCTTCAAGTTTAGAAGGGAAGTAGGTCTTTATTTACTTTATTATCCAACTACAAAGGATTTACCCTACATAAATGTAGGAGGGAGAAACTAACTTGTGGTTGGAATTTTACGTTTCTTACGCAGGTCGGTCCAAGACTCAAAAGCCTCTGCAGCTGGTAGTTGGCACTCTCACCCCAACCTCTGTGTTCCTCTCTTGGGGCATCCTAGTCAACCCTCAGCATGACTGGACAGCAACAAGTAACTGTGCTAGTGACAGGTAACATAATAGAAAACCATGTATTTCACCGATTATGATTTAATTCAATGTTGTTATCTTTTGTGGCTAAAATAATCTTGACTGGAAGTGAAAAAGTTGGAAGGGGTAGCTCTGAATGTGAAGGAAGTTTTCCCCTTTACTTAAATTAGTGCTTCACAAGCCTTTACTTGTCTGGAGTGCAAATTTATTTAGATGTCTATATGCTGAAATCTTCCTGTTAAATGCTAGGTCCTTTGTTTTTCTTAAACCAATGGCCTTGGCTCTACCTTCATTTGTATCCAAATTAATTGTGAGAAATCTTATTAAATCATGGGAAATATATTGGTTTAAAGTTGACCAAATAGAAGTAAAGTAAATCTTTTGTTGAGCTGTGGTAGGAGAATGACACCTTATCCTAATGTTATTTGATTTTTGTTTCCTATATTTGGTCTTATCAGTACACTAATTTCCTGATACTGATACAATACAGCTTTCATTACTTTTCTGTTATAAGTTAAAGAAGATCTCTTCTACTATAACATTATTGTTTTGCTGTCATTATTTAATGAGTGGGTGGGGCATTCAGGAAGACTCACCAAGTGGCAGTTTCAAGAGAAGTCATATGCTGGATATCTTCAGTTAAGTGCACCATTACATTTTAGGTAACTCCTGACAGATGAATAGAATTAATCTGCTGTGATTATTGAAATTGTTAATACAGATGTTCTCCTTGCTCTGTCATTTCCATGTTCTCTTTGTATTCTTCCTTTTATGACAGAAGACTTCTTTGGTCTTTACTTACAACCCATGAAGCTTTTTTTCAACTCAACCGTATTTTGTAAAACCAAGAAGAAACTTTGTGCACCTGTGTTTGGGATGCATCTACATCTAGTTTGCAGCTATCATATTTTGGGTTTTTTTAAATGCATATTTGCATTAGTGAGAACATTTGTTTTTCCCTATTTGTCTAATTTGTTGCTGTCTACATTAATGTTAATCTGCTTACTTTGGTGTTGATAATAGAACTCCCATTGATACCATTAAACTGAATGCTGACACAGATTATGTTAAAAAATCCATTCCATGTAGGCAATATGATGTCTTTCTTACCTCCCAAAAGCTTTGGACTAACCCTTTTCAAGCTTCATAAATTTCTCATAAACAAATTTGGATCTCCATCACCAACGAGAATTTCAAACACTATTGAAAAAACAACATTAATGGTTATTAGGGAATTGTTATGAATATTAGGAAATGTCCAAACATGTAATTTAATTGATTTTTGGGGGGGTAGAAATAAGTGTTTAGGCTTAAATTTTGCTCTCTTGATGAAGAAAGAAGCAAATAGTTTCCTACAGAGGAAACCAACGGATCATGGAGGAGACTATAAAGTGTTCTGCCCACAAAATTATTTTAGCACTGTTTTTACCACGGGATTTGTCTTCTTTATGTGCTGTGTCAACACCAAAGTTACAGCACCCATTGTGCATTGGGAAGGAAGAACGCTTTAGAAGCAGCCTATAACTTGTTTTAATTAATCCACCTGGAGATTCAACACATGGTACCCACTACAGTGCCTTCATCAATTTTGGGTTTTCACCTCAGTGAAATTCTATATGTTTATTTCTCTAGTGTGAGAGACTTGTTTTTCCCATGTCCTTGTGTCAGGTCATGGTATACATCTCCCAGAATTCTGGTTCTTTAGCTGTGTTGTTTAGTCTAGTTTGTGGATGCCTCTCAGGTGTTTACTTTTAGTCAGGCTGTACTAAAGCATCGCCTATGTATTTCCATTTGCTCCCATAAGAGGACTTGCCTATGAGAGTTGTATTCATTTTTTTATTATCACCCAGCTTTTTATTATTACTTCAGCTCTAAATACATACTGACACTAAGGAATTGCTAGTTCAAAAATACTTAAATCAAATTTGAAACAGTCATATCAAACTATAGGTTTTGTAATTTAATTTAATTGGATTTTTTTTTTTTTGTGGAAATGAAAGTGTTTAGGCTTAAATTTTGCTCTCTCTTGGTGAAGAAAGAAGCATATAGTTTCCTACACTTAGAAATCAAAGAAACAACCTATAAGCAGATTTCTATTCTGCAGTCCAGATAGCAATAAAGTTAATGAATGTAAAAAAAAAAAAAACCCACTCCAGTTAAATAGCGCTCTTACTTTGTTTACTTTTACTGGACCAAAATGTTTGTGATTTGTATAAATAATGAGAACAGTTCTACAAATCACCATGGTGTGTAGTTCTGTAATACCTAGCAGAGATTGTATTCAAATACATTTCTAGTCCATGTATAGAAGAAAAATTACTAATTTATAAAAATAATTTGAATTATAATTGATAATGTATGGTAAGAAATAATTGGGAAGTAGCCCATCCTTAGCAAGTTATCACCGTGTTAAAGGTACAAGTCAAAATCAGATAACAGATTCATCAATATTTGCATCTCTTGCAGGGGCTGTCTACTTGAGTTACTTGATCCTTATTTATCTGGCCTATTCTCCTTACTGTGACATGTTGAAATGTGTTGTTAGTCATCCTCAGGGCTGTTGTATAGTGACGAACCTCTGATCTTCGACACTGGGAGTATGTGGCAATTACAACCTCTTACCTTAGTTCTATCAGTTAATATCCCACCAAGTTTGAGACTTGTAACTCTACAACCTGAAAGGGAGTCACTGTCCTCAGCCTGAGGTTTTACCATCTCCGGATGGATGTTAGGCTTTTATACAAATGTTGCATAATATAAAGGGTTGAATATGTTACTGACTCAGAAGATGAAAACCATATGGAACAGCATGGATCTGTTGGCCAAGATTTTCTCTAGTGCGAGTCAAATCTCAGTGGGATATTTCTTAGAAGATCTGGTTTTGTGAGCAAGTGAATTTTGAATAAGAGGTGTCACATTCTCAAAAAGTATTAGTATCTTTTATTGCTTCTGTGAAATTATTGCTTGTTTATTGAGGGCACACAGTGTTTTTTCTGTACCTATGATGTGCTTTTTAAGAAAGCCCAATGAAAATAACATTCCCATGCCATATTTCAACAAACCATTCTTTGGTTGCTTAACTGCCTAGAGATTAAGAGTATAAGCCAATAAAATGCTACATATTTCCTCCAAGATAACCCCAAACCCTAATTCCTTATGGAAGCCAACATAACCACTGCCATTTGGGTGGACCAAAGTTCTTAGCAAGGTCAAATTTTAAAGCTACCTTGAAGTGGCTATCATCTCTCATCAGAACCTTAGCACTAGAATGCAAAAAACAAAAAGACCCAAACCAGAAAATTCAAGCAATTAGTCTTATGTAACCGATGAAAACTACATAACACCAGAAAGGTTCCACCAACAATGTGGAGTCATCTTTCTCTGCATCTTCTGTTTGCTGACATCTGTATGAGGCAGTTGATGAGGGAGGATGGCAAAGTTAAGATAACATGCTGCAGAGTCATGTGCTGTTCCTGGTTTTATATCTCCAAGAGAATAGAGACTTGTTTCCTCTCTGCCTTTCGATGTTCAAATAACCATTAGTGGACAGTCATAATAAACATACTGGGGGTATGTCTACTGTCCATTTAGGTCTGAAAAGGAGAGTATAAACTATTGTATAGACTTTTCTTGGCCTTTCCTTTGGTTAGAACAACTCCACAGATCCCAAGATGGAGAAAGGGGTCAAAAAAGGTGGAGTTTGACCTTCAGGTTTTTGGGCAGGAGGAGTTGGAGGAAGGAAGAGAAAATGTTTTTTCCATGCAAGACAAAACAAGGATTTGAAAATAGAATACTAAGTTTTACTGGATCAAGTGGATTGTCTAGAAGAAGAAACATTCTTTCAGATACATCTGAAATAGAAATTTTAAAACTTCATTAAATATATCTAAGTTAAGAACTTTGACAAGTTCACATTTATATCGTTTCAATTTGCTTCCCTGTGATTCAAATGTCCTAATGTCATATTTGCAAGTAGTACAGATTTTTTGTTTTATTTAATTTGTATCTGATGCATTAAAAAACAAAATATAAAAAATTAAAAAATAAGAAAAATAGAGAGGGAAAACTGGAGAAGAATTCATATTTACTCTTTATGGTGTATAGTACATAGAAGTAGGGTTCTTAAAACACTAAATTCAGAAAGTTACATGCAAGCATCTTTATTTCCTAGAATCATAAAATGCTTTGGTTTGGAATGGACCTTAAAGATCATCCAGTTCCAACTCCTCTGCCATGGGCAGAGACACCTTCCACTAGACCAGGTTGCTCCAAGCCTCATCCAGCCTGGCCTTGAACACTTCCAGGGGTGGGACATCCACAGCTTCTCTGGGCAACTTGCCAGTGCTTCACCACACTCTCTGTGAAGATTTTTTTTCCTAATATCCAATCTAAATTTCTCGGCTTTCAGTTTAAACCCATTCCCCCTTGTCCTGTCACTACAGGCCCTTGTAAAAAGTCTCCTTCCATCTTTCTTGTATCTCCTTCTGTGCCTATTTACAGATCTGTGTCACTATACAGCTGCTAACTTTATCACACTTTGTGTTGTAAATGTCAGAAAATGTATTTTAAACTTAGCAAAGTTCCTTAAAGAAAACATACTGCAGCAAACAAACTTTCTGAGTTTCAGATGCTTCTGAGTTTACTGCTGTGGGAGTTTATGCTGAAAGATTGTTTAAACATGGAAAGATTTGTTGGTGTTCAGCCTCTTCATCTCCAGAATCTCTAACTCTTCAATTCATTTCAGTAATTCTACTAAAACAAATAAATTAAAAAAGTGAATGTTAGTGATAATGTAAAAGAGAAAACTAAATTAGAAAGTGCTTTGCAAACTTTACTGGTAGCCATTGGCGATGTAATTATTTCCATCTTTTTATATATGTCAGTGTCTCTTATTTTGAAATAAAATTGGTAACAAAGAGGAAACAATATAATCAACTTCATGTGCCAATTTGTGAGACACTCAGTATCTGAAAAATCATAGTTCAGACCATGTCTTTTATTACTTTCTAACACTGAATGGA